AGCAGGATCTGCGCCATCCTGCGGCCCAGACGGGTGAGCAGGCCCTGGTCGTCCAGGAGCCCCAGCGCATAGAGCAGGTCCATGGCTGTGAGCAGGTTCTCCACCGCGGGGGCAACCGTGAAGTTGAAGGACAGCAGGTCGTTCACGCCCATGTCCCTGAGGGACAGCACGGTGCTGGTCAAATCGTTCCTCTGGATCTGAGTGACTTTGGTACCAAGCATCTCGTCACGGTAGGTGTGCTCTGTATACAGCCAGTAGCACCTCCTTGGGCCCGTGTGGCCGGCCCTGCCCGCGCGCTGCTTCGCCTGGGCCTGTGAGATGTGCGTCACCCACAGCTGGTCCACGCCTGACTTGGAGTCGTAGACCCTCTGCTTCACAAATCCGTGGTCCACCACGTCGTGGATGCTGTCGATGGTCAGGGAGGTCTCCCCGATGTTGTTGGCCATCACGAAATTCCTGCTGCATGGCAGGGCCGGGTCGAAGATCCGGGTCTGCATGGCGCTGGGCAGGGCAGAGTACATGGGCAGGATGTTCAGCTCGGGGACGTCAGGGCCCAGGGTCTTCATCCTCTCGTACACGATCTCGCAGTCCATGTAGATCTCCTCCTGCCTGGTCAGGAAGACCAGCATGTCACCCGGCGGCTCAGTGAGGTGGATCTGCATGGCGGTGATCAGGCTGGCATCCAGGTAGTCGGTCTCGGGCTCCTTGGTGTACAGGATCTCCACGCGGTACATGCGGCCCAGCACGGTGAAGATGGGGGCCTTAAAGAAGTACTGGGACAACTTCACCATGTCCAGTGTGGATGAGGTGATGATCAGCTTCATGTCCCGCCGCTTCTGCACGGTCTCCTTCAGCAGCCCGAACAGCACGTCGGTGTGGATGGTTCCCTCCTGGGCCTGGTCCAGCATGATGACGGCGTACTGCATCAGGTCGGGGTCTGCCAGGCACTCGCGCAGCAGCATGCCGTCCGTCATGTACTTGATGCAGGTCTGCGGGCCGCTGCAGTCCTCGAAGCGGACGGTGTAGCCCACCTCTTGACCCAAGTGGCAGACGAACTCCTCCGCCACCCTCTCGGCCACTACCTGGTGGCCAAGCTCCTGGGCTGGGTTCAGCCGATCTTGCCCCGCTTCGCGTAGCCAACCTCAGGCAGGTCCTGGGTGATCTGCGTGGTCTTCCCGGACCCGGTCTGCCCAATGATGATGAGGACCTGGGTGTCATTGAAGGCCTGCAGCAGCTGCCCCTTCAGCCTGTAGATGGGCAGGCCCTCCCGCTGCTCCAAGATGGACAGCTGTGTCTTGCCGGAGGACAGCTGGTGGCCCCTGAACACCTGCCTCTTCAACTCGGGAATGTGGCTGGGCCTCACCCCAATTGCCCGCAGCTTGGCCATGATCTGCCTGCCCTGAGCGTCAGGCAGGGGGTCGACCCAGTGCTTGTGGAGGCCCATGGGGATGGAGTCCAAATTGGCCTCCCACAGCTGAGCCTGCTTCAGCTCCCACTGTTCGTTGTCCAGTACGCTCTGCATCATGGCGGCCAGCCACAGGGAGCCATCTGGGTTCTTCCCCATCTTGACAGTGGGGTTTGTGTCCCCGCTGCTGTGCTTCATGCGGCCCTGCAGAAATGAGGGCTCCTTGTCCACCAGCTGGATCTCCAGGTCCTCGTCTTCCCCACCATCCAGCTGCGGGAGGATGCCTGTCTCCTCATTAAAGTCTGGAAACTCCTCTCTGAAGAGGATGTTGGCCACAGTCATCTGCTTGATCTCCCATTTCTCAAGATCCGAGATGGCTGTGAGGAGGTGCTTGCTCTCCAGCCGGTTGTCCTACATCGTGGGGGAGCCGACGAGCAACAGGTGGCTGGGTCTGTCTGGGTTCTGCGTGGAGGTCTCCTCCCCGGTCTCCCTGACCAGGTTGTACCATCAATGCTGCCACTGTGGCTTCTGCTGCTGCCGCCGCCGCCTCTACCTCTCCCAGAGCCACCCACTTGGGTTCAGATCCTCTCTGCTCTCCTGGTCCACATCCTTCATGCTCAGGCTGGTCCTGGTCCCAGTGAAGGACAGCACTTTGGCCTTGACCCGCTGGCCTTTGCTCACCAGTTCTGTCACGTTGGCCACGCGGGCCTCGCACCGCAGCTCAGAGATGTGCACCAGGCCTTCCCACCGCTTCCTGAGCTCCTCCAGCTACTCAAAGCACACGAACTGCAGGATGCTGCTGACCTTTCCTGTGTATATGTGCCAATGGCCAGCTCCTCAGCTGATGGGCCATCCATGCGCTTGTCCCGCCACCTGGCCAGGCTCCCCTCCTCAACCTTGACACAGGGGTCCTTCCAGTCCTTGGGGGGGCTCTGGCTCCTGCTCCCGGGCCAGTATCCTCCCTTTCTTCCTCTCCGGGGTCCGCGAACGGGACCGCCAATAGCAGGACTGCTGCCTGGGCCTGCATTCTCTGTCTCTGTCTCTGTTTGTGTCCCAATCCAAGTACCGGTCAGTGACCCGGTCCTGGCCCTGGCCCGCTGTGGCACTGGGCATCATGCCCTCCAGCTCTCTCAGGGCATCCACGGTGACATTCACATCATCCTCATCCAGCATGGTCTCAGACGAACTGGAGGCGGCAGCAGCAGCCGGATTGTCTGGCCCGCACTGTCCCAGAAACAGCTCCTTCCGATTCTCCTTCGTGCTCTTGGGCTTCAGCATGGGATCTCGGCTCTTGGATGGCATTGCTGGGGTCCGCATGCTCTGGATGAGGTGCAGCAGGTTGTGGACCAGAGAGTCTGTGAATTCTGCTCCACTCTTAACCAGGGCAGCCTTAAAAGCATTCAAGGTGGTATTTTTCTCAGCCAGACTGATCACAAATTCAGCTAGATACTTGTCATTGATCCCCCAAGTGGTTGTGCAGCTCCGGGAGAACTTGGACACCAAGGAGAGATACTCCAGCTTGGCAAGCTCCTCCAAGGGGCTCGGCATGGCTGCACTGTGCTGGTCTGCCTTCTGCTTCCTGCTTCTTGCTCCCACTCCAGGCTCCCGGCTTCCGGCTTCCGGCCTGTGGCCTCCTGCCTCCCGCCTCCTGCCAGGGCCGCCGAGCTCTAGCTTTGCCTTTCCATCTGGGTCGGCGAGCATCTCTTTGGTTTATCGCACCAACATGGAGACTTCCTTCCTTCCTGCCACAACCTCTCCTTCCCGCCTGGGTGACCCGCTGGCTCATACAGATGAGCCCCGAAGAGTGTACAGAAGGGATAAGAGGAGAGGGTTTCTCTGCGCGCTGAGCGGCACCCTCTATGGGAGAGAGAACTTCCGTACCCCAGAGCCCGCAAGCTCTCCTTCTGGGTACATCCGCGCCCTGTGCCAGCAGGGGGCCCCCGCAAGCTGTGGTAGCCCCTGGGAGGGTGAGGTGGCGGAGCCTCGGCACCTGTCCTCTAGGAGCCTGCGCCCTGGAAGTGTGCCAAATTGTGGGTGGGGAGTGTGGGACGGGGCTGGGCCCCAGGCTTCCTACACCTGCTGGCCTGCAGCGCTGGCATCGGAGGGCCAAAGAGTCCAGATCCATCACCCGACTTCCCCTGGCTCCCAGAACCGGTGTGTCACACACCCCTGCCATCCCAGTACTCGGGGGCAGGGCGGGCGCAGGGGCGGTAGGATCTCCACTTGGGCCCAGCCGGTGCGACTTAGCCAAACCCTCGTCTCAGACAAGGGGCACGAAGAACCCCTGGTTTTGTTTCCCAACCCCTGCCAGGGAAAGGGGCCACAGAGCCACAAACGTAAAGCGGCAAACACTGCCCTCCTTTAGCAATTGTTTGACAAGCGGGGAAGGTCTGTCTCAATGGTACCCAGGAACAGCAGGATTCACCACATCTTTGTGAAAAGCCAGTTGACTGCACACATTCATGGCTGACAGTTTGATTTGCTGCCACGTACTTCGTGTAACACCGAGGAATTCGGTGAATTAAAGGAAAAGTAGAAAATACAGAGTGACAGCTAAGACCGGAGCCTGAGCTGAGGTGCACGTGGGGGCTCCTCCAACACACTCCCCTCCGGGAAACACAGAGATGGACGCTACTCACAAGTGACTGCCAACCTGGCCTGCTGGCACCTGCCCGTCACACCAGCACTCCAGGAGGCTGAGGCAGGAGGATCCCAAGTAGAAGCCCAGCCTGGCCATATCAGTGGCTTGGCGACACCCTATCTCCAAATTCCTCAGTGCAGAGGCCCTGGGTTCCCTCCACAAGACTGACAAAGAAAATGAATTCAGCCTGGAGTTGCTGCGTGGTTACAGAGCGGGAGCCTCTGAGATGAGGCCCTGTATTCCTCCCCCGGGGCCCCGCCCATCACCGGAAGAGATGCTCATGTGGGCGTGTGTGTGTGTGTGTGTGTGTGTGTGTGGGTGTGCCTGGGTAGAATGAATTTGCAGGTAATGTGACATATGGTAAATTCCTTCTTCTTAGTGTATCGCTCTCCTCGCATGGCCTCTGTGTGACCTTTTAACATAGCTATGGAGAATTCACAGCATATAATCTACCTCTGCATAAAGATTAAGAAGAATGGCCGGTACTCACTACCCACCCTACCTATCCCGAGAGACAAGAAGCTAGTTTCCAAGCCTGGTGTGGTGGTGCGTGCCTGTCAACTCAGCACTGGGGAAGCTGACCCAGGAGGATCGCCTAGAAGGCTCGGACGATGGGAACTATAGAGGGAGACACTATATCAGAAAGCCAAAGAAAGAAAAGATGAAACATTTGCAGATCTCAACCCCCAAGCAGTAGGGATAGATATTTATCTCTCTCTCTCTCTCTCTCTCTCTCTCTCTCTCGCTTTCTCTGTGGGGGGGCATGTGTGTGATAGAATTGAATTAGCTGGTGCTGTTCGCATAGTTAATAGTTTTCGAATTGCAATGTTTTACTTTTACCATTGAGTCATATACTGTGTCTTCTGGTCGCTGATATTGTCTGCCCACAGCGTGAGGAGCTCCCCTTAGTGTGGCTTGTGAGATGGGAGGAATGGTGCCAAAGTATCACATATTTCAGGGCAAACTCACTCGAGTTGGTTCCTGGAGATGTATTTTGTTCGCTTCCGGAGACCAGATGACCTCGTTGCTTCCTTTGCCTTGATTCTGCTGGTATCTGCACGTGAGATTTGACGTTTCCCAATCTGCTGGGGAAGTCCTAGTGTAGAACGATCTCAGCTACCCATCTTCCCAGGAACATTAAGGGCTCTCACACCTCTGTCCGTTGCCTCGGTGTCCCCCACCCACTAGAGACTAGGGTGTGTCACGCCCTCGACTGGTAAATCCCACCCAGACTCTCAAGTAGCCGGAAAGGTTGTGTGTTGGGTATGTGCTCCAAGCGCCACCCTCTCGGGAAGCCGAGTCTGCGCGCTTTTCTCCCAGGCTTTCTGCACTAAGCCGAGGAGACGGACAGTAGCTACTAGCCACTCGAACATCCCACCGCACTCTCTGGTCTTGCAGACATAGGTGCTGGAAGCCAGCCCCTTTTGCGCTCAACCCAATTTTTCCATAGTCCACGGTCGCCCAGGAAGGCATAGCTCCACTGACTCCCAGAGGTGGGTGTGTCAAAAGGGACAGTCCGTTGAGTGGGGGCTATCAGAGGGCTGGCATTTGGCACCTGGCCAAAGTCCTCCGGGGAAGAATAGGTAGACCTGGATTGCTCACTTGAGTGCAAGTAGAGGGGGAGAAAGCTCC